GCAGTGAACCATTCAGGTTTGGATGTTTCTCTGTTATGTAAACAAGCAGGAAGTTCTTCTTATTGCTCATAATTCCTTTTTAATCGTATGATCTTTGATTGCAGATCGTTTCAGACATTATAAACCAAGGGCGTAGATTTGGTTTTGGCATTGGTGGGGACGGATGATTCAACCACCGAACCCTGTTTCTTTTTTTTTTCCTTTTTGTTTTTGCTTCTTGATAACAAAAGGAGAAAAAACTTGCCTATGTAGAATTTTTAAACCATTTAAAATCACAATTCATAGTTTTATATGTGAATTATATAATGTTAACTGACTAAGTATTTTAGACTTTAGTTTACTTCAGCCATATTCCATATAAATCAGGTATCATACAAAAATAAAAATAGCTTCAAATACAGTCATGACAATAAAAGAATATGACTTTAAGGACTTAACAACATTACTTCAGTTATAGTACACCAACATCTCTGATACATTAGCACTAAGGGAACACTGAATGACCTGGTGGGTTTTGTTCATGTTTCTTTTTTTTTAATTTTTTTTATGAAGAAGCAGAACATTTGCACAAAATCACCAACACACCACATGAATCCTGCCAATTACTCACTTCCTTATAACCCACTGAATCAGGTACTGAAGCAGTGATGCACTGAATGAAGCTTCGGACCTCTGTGATCACGTTGCTCTGTTTAAACAAACCAGGGCTTCTGAAGCAATGCACTGATTTTTTAGACACATGCGCTGGAGATTCAGCTTCAAACAGACAATATTAGCTATTAGTGTACTTCTCGTGTTTCTGAGTTCTTTATTTGGGTCCCACCTGTCATGGTCCTGGGTTATGTGACCCAGTGTTTTGCATTTCAATGTATTTTATTATTCATTTGTTTTCCAGTTTCATTTTAGCTTATCTCGTTAATTTCTATCAGGCCTAGGTGGCTGTTTTAGTGATTTGTTTATTGGATCCTCTGGTGTCATCAGCCCCTGTGTTTTAGTCTCCCTTGTTGGTTCATGTTATTAATTTCATGTCATGTCTGTGTCTCGTCGGGTTTACTGTTTATTTTGAAAGTCTCGTTTCCATGTTTTGTTTTACTTCCCCTGCGGCATCACTATGTTCATTCTTGTCAGCTGTCTCCTCGTGGTTTCCACTTCCCTTGATCACCTCTTAGTCTGTGTGTTTTCTTTCAGTCCTCGTCGGATCGTCTGTGTCGCCTCCCTCCATGTGTATATAGTCATTGCCATAGTTGTTTAGTGTTACATTTAACTCTTGCCCCTGTTTGGCTTCGTTTCAGTTGTGTATTCATGTTATCAGCCACAATAAAGGCTCGTTTTTTTGTTTGTAGCTCAGTTTCGTCTCCCTCCCTGTCTGCCTTTGAGTCCCTAGCTAAAACACACGGGCATACGTCGCCATGACACTACCTCTGCCAGCCACGCAACCACCGTGACAAGTTGTGCGTTGTCAGCACTCATCATTGTTGATGGTGGGAGCATTCTGTCTTCTGCTGTGAGAGCATTGGAGATATTTGTTTCTCTGGTAGTGATGGCCAAATGAAGCCTTGCGATTACTGGAAGCTTTACATCCAATTGGTTCAAAAAATGGTTAGCTTCTTGAGGCTTCATATGCACATAAACCCCCTCTGCTGGTCAAAGTCTTTACTGTTATTTCAACTATTTGTCATTCCGGACACATTGAGCCCTCTGCAATTTGCATATCAAAAGAATCCACTGAAGATGCCGTTACTGCAGCCATCCACACAGCCTTCTCACACCTCGAATATGAGGACACCTATGTTTGAATGCTGTTTATAGACTACAGATTCATTCAACACCGTCATCCTAAACAGACTGATGGGTCATATCAAATTTTTTTTAGTTTTTAGTTCACAAATTATTTGGATTATGAAAGGAGCGAGTTGAAAGATTTCCATATTTCCTTAAACTCTCCCAGAGAAAACACACAGATCGCTTAATATATGATGTAATAACCTGATTATTAAAACAACATAGAGATATTTTTAAAAGTACAACATGTCACCCGATGTGACTACTGTAATCAGTAGTGCATCTTTTTTTGGCTAGAAATATTTTTTTCATATAGTTTTCAAAGCCTGATTATATTTTCATATCTAATGTTTTTTTTTTTTTTAATGGGCTGTAATTATTATGCCTGTAATATCTATTTGGAAAATAACGACTTAAGAGCTCCTCCCATTTGATGTCAACAAAGAGCCGTTGAAATTCTAATCTACTCAGCTTGAGAGCATGGAGAGAGCCGGGCAGCTGTCGCACTGCTGGACGTTATTGTTTCTTCACTTCCTGCTGTTGCCGCCACCTAGCAGCTCATGTGTGTGTTTGTGTGTGTGTGTATGTTTGTGTGTGTGTGTGTGTGTATGTGTGTATGTTGTGTGTGTCTATACCCAGACCTGTGTACACAAACCCAAAATGACAAACTACACCTTACAAAACTTAGAGATTATTGAAATGAATAAGACCAGAGAGTCTTTGGACAAACCTGCCTTGATGTGTGAGTCTGCTATGAATGTATGTTGATGACTAAGGTAGGATATATATATATATAGAGCTTGGTATGGAAAATCTTTGATGTGCATATGGCACATATCTGCCTACGCTAGGTTGAGATCGTGCAGAGTGCGCTATACTCCTCTGTCCACCCTCCTCAAAAAAAAGAGACAATGTTTCTGAAACAGTTCTTATAGCTAGTAAACTTGCCAAAGGTTCTGCACATAAAGTTCATCTAGTTATGGTTTTTAGCATAGAATTGCATTAAGAGTCGCTGTTAAAAATCTTCATCTTGTGTGTATACCCTTCTTTGAAACTAGTTGCATTGTGAAACACTGAGAACCCTCAACAGTTTTATTCTTTCTTATGGTACTGCTGTTAGAATGAATACAAAATAACAAAATACTTTAGAATATACAAGATGGTTCATATTGTTGCAAGCTCTGAGCTGTATCCTTGTCTCCCACCTATGTACATACATGCATATATGCATATTTGTCCCTTTAATGTGTATGTCATAATCTTAAATCTGCAGCTGATTTCATTCCCCTTGTTAAGATTGGTGAGATTTAATTCAAAATAAGATGACATCATTTAATAGATTTATTAGTAGACTGACATTTTATGTTGGGCAGCAAGTCTTTCTGTGTGAAGTTTGCATGTTCTCTCCATGTTTGCATGGCTTCTCTCCACTTGTTTTGGCTTCCTCCCACAGTCCAAATACATGCGGTAAGTGGGGTTAGGTTACTTGATGATTCTAAATTGCCCGTAGGTCTGGGTGCGACTGGTTATCTGTCTTTATGTTCAGGTGATTATTTATAAATCATCAAACCAAATGTATCTCATAACCAAATGTATCTCATAACCAAATGTATCTCATTAACAAGCATGTTTCCTGTATAGGAGCATAGTATCTTAATACCGAGTTGTGTGGGTTTCAGTTACAGGTTTTTGCCTCAGAACTGTTTTGCAGCCTTTAGCATGTGGGTGCATGGAACCTATAACCATATCCTGTTTATAAGAGTTTTATATCTGATGGATGTCACTGGGAAATCACCCTCATGTCACCAAGAAATGTCTAAAGAGTCTTTTTCTTTCTTTCTTTTTTAGCTCTAATAATTATGGGAGAGCCCAACCTTGTGACCTCACAGATTGTTATATCCATACCTGTATCACATATTACATGTGATGATCTCTAATTGCAGAATAACAGAATTTGTCTGCTTAATACACACCGGTGTTCTCTTTTGTCCTGTAGACCTCGTAAACATCACAGCTGAATCTGGACAGAACGTCACTTTGTCATGCAGAGCCAACAACAACAACCTCGTCACATTTCTTGAGTGGAGCAAACATGGTCTTAGGAAAGGATATTTACTTTTGTACCGGGATGAGCGGTTTGATCTAGAGAACCAGCATCCATCGTTTAAGAACCGAGTGGAGCTACAGGACAGACAGATGAAGGATGGAGATGTGTCGTTGATACTGAAGGATGTGACACTTGATGACCGTGGAAGATATGAGTGTCGTGTTGAGACAAAAATAAATCGCAGGAAGAGAGCGAATCAGGATGACGACCCCGTCATCATCATCAGCCTGAATGTTGTTCCTCCAGGTGAGTGAGTAGAGTTGAGTGTGTGTGTGATCAGAGGTGAAGCTGCTTCCTGGTTGTTGATGTTTGTTTCTAAAGATGTTGTTGATGAGACTTTGTAGAAAGCAGCTGGTCTGAGTGATGTGATCAGAGTGCAGTAGATAATGTCTGACAGCAGTTTGAATGGTAAATGGCCTGTATTTATATAGCTTTACTAGTCCCTAAGGACCCCAAAGCGCTTTACATATCCAGTCATCCACCACACATTCACACACTGGTGATGGCAAGCTACATTGTAGCCACAGCCACCCTGGGGCGCACTGACAGAGGCGAAATGGATTCTGTTCTGTTCTTCACTCATCACCTACCTGACAGCTGACACCTCACACCTGTTTCTCATCTGCAGGTCAGACAGGAGGAGACACAGAGGATGGAGGGAAGGAGGAACGGGGAAGTGAGAAGATAGGGAGGCATAGCTCTGTCGGTGTGGCAGTTTCTGCTGTCCTTCTTTTGGGTGGTATTGTTGTGTTTTTGATCTACAGAAAACATAAAACAACACATAATCTGGACTCATACCAGCGTCCTGCTGAACTACAAACTGTTTAAAATGTGTCACATGTTTCTACAGCTGAACTGTCAGTGCCTCTGCTGCTGTTTCCTCAAACCTTATTTATTTGTTTTTTATACTGTTTTGCATATTAGAAGGTTTCAGCTGTATTTATGGTTCTATCTCTGTTCTGCCGCTACAGGAAGCTGAGAAAGGCATAATGTGGTAACTTTATCTCTGACTGACTGATGTGAAAGTCCCTAGCATTACATTTTCCTTCCAGTGTTGCGAGTCAAACTTCCAAGATTAAATTTGAATAAGATTATCAATATGTGTTTTTTAAGCTTTAAACAGTTTCCAAAGCTCATGATTGAACTATGGATGTTACTTCTGTTGAGTTTGTGTGGTTTGATATTTACGTTATGAGCTTAACTGACATTGGAGATACTGAAAGCTTTTAAACAGGAAAGATTAAATTGCATTAACAGGGAGAGAAAACATGAGTGTTTCTTTATTTTAGCCTTTGTAATGATTGTTGAATAAATCTGCCTGTAAATGTTAATATGAACTGCACTGTAAGAACTCATGGGATGAAGTAGAGAGGAAGAGCTTGCTGTGCGAAGTAGTTACAGCATGGTTTAACTACATTTATAACATCCACCGTCACATTAATGAGCAGCCCAGTGTCAGAGCAGTCAGATTTAATGATATACATTAATACATATAAATACATACCATACATACATTTTTCCTTCACCCTGTGATTTATTTTCTTTAAAAGAAAGGCAAAATGACTAACAAAAGAAAGCAAAGATGAGCTTTTTGATAACTATCTTAGTCTGTTGTCTATTATCTCATGCCTCGAGCTTCTTAATGTCAGTCACTTCTCATTTGTCTTTCAGTTTAAAACAATGAAGTGTATTCATGCCACAGAGGTCTTTATATAACATACTGTCCATATAAGAAGGGAAACCTGCTGCTGTTAGAGGAACTGAAGTCTTAAAACACAATGACTATGAGTCCACAGACCATCCTGAGAACACAGGAGGTGAAGGACTAGTTAAAAACAGGCCACGTACCTCAAACTGATTTGAATTTCAAATGTAGGCGCAGAGTTCCTGCTCGTCATCTGTGTACACTCTCCTCTGTGTTTGCTCTGTTTTATTTACTCTGTGCTTCAGGATTCAGTATCGAGATAAACACAGAGCAACAAGAACCAAACAAGCCGAACTGAAACTGTTTGGGATTCTGGATAATTCGTTATTATATTACAAGTCCAAGTTATAAGTAACTTGAATTTTAAAAAGAGAGAGAGAGTTTTGTTTAAAGAAGGATCGTAGCCAAAATAAAGACCCCCAAACAGATTTGAATAAATGGAAAATAATCCATACAAAAAAGTGTACAGAGAGAGAGAGAGAGAGAGAGAGAGAGAGAGAGAGAGAGAGAGAGAGAGAGAAGAGAGCAAAGCAAACAGAAACATGCAGGTGAAACCCCCGAGCTGACAAACAGCACTATGCAGCAACTCATCAAGGAAAACTGAGGCCTTAAATACACATGTAACCAGGGAGATGGAAACCACCAAGGACACACCTGAACAAAATCAGGAAAAATAAGATGGTAAGCCACTACACAGGGGCTTTCTCATACAGCGATGGGGACTTTACATGATACCTGGATAAAAGAAACTCAGGGGAATAACAAGACATGATAACTACAGTTACAGAACATGAAAGAAAACTCGATCTTACCTGAAAATAACTCAAATAGGAACAAAAGTTAGAATATGAAACTGTAACTAACCAAGAACAGAGCAAGTAAAGGTCAAAGCATCCAAAACTGAAATGTGAAAACCAAAAATAAAGGGTCAGTGAGAGCACGCTAACCATGTACAGGTTTACAATATTTATTTTGTGAGTTTAATTCTTTAAAACGAGTTTATGATGTCGAGATCTGTGTGTGGGTGTTAACAACAGCCGTTATAGGAACCAGAATCCCATCTCCACGAGTTTGAAGGCATTTTTGAGTCTCAAAATGTGGTTTTATTGTCAGGGTTACAATTAGGTTAGGGTTAGGTTCAGGGTAAGTGTCACGGTTAGGCATTAATTTCATGATGGGTAGGGTTTGGGTAAGCGGCTAAGGAAAGCATTATGTCAATGAGATGTCCCCACAAGGAAATAAATAAACACGTGTGACTATGAGAAACATCTCTGCAGAGTTTTCTATGTTAATTATGTAGAAAAAAAAGTGACTCAGATGCAACAAATGAGTTCAGTACAAGTGAAACGGCCGGAGCTTTGAGGCCCTCAGACTCTCATTTACGTGTTTCTAGCACATATTTATTCTCCAACATTTTTAATTGTTATTTATTTTAATTTATTATTTAATTATTGTTCTTCGTTCTTCGATATGTAAGCATGCAATATTCTGGGCAAAATCTTTAACACCAGCTCTAATTTAGACCCTCCCTTTGCCAAAGAAAAAGTTGTACTGTATTGTATCGTCCCCAGTACAATCGTAAAAATTTTATTGGGCACTGCCAAGTTTTGTGGACAGTGTGGGCCCAGTTGTTTCCTGATTTTCACATGAAATACTGAGGGTTTGCCCACAATGACTGCACGAGTCCCAGTCAGACATGTTTGCTGGGAAACTCTCCTAATGTTTATGTCACTGTTATCTGAACTTAGCTGTACAGTAAGGCTGCTTATTAAATCATTAAAAGATTCATAAAAACACAAAGATGCTTCATTTCCAGCTAAGATTAGGAGTTTAAAATGAACACTGCAGTGTATCCTCTGCTAAAGGAGGTAATGGAGGATCATTGCACGTGTTTCTTAAGCGCTTGGAGAATCCAAACAAGTGTTCATGTATAACATGGTCTGATATGTGTGTATGCTGTATGTACATTTTTTTTAAAAAAATGTATCTTTCTGTCTATGTCATGTAATGCTCTGTATTTAATAAAGTAAATATTATGATTCAGACAGCAGCACAAGACACTTTCAGTTTTTGAGTGTTTTTAATTGTTGCATTTTTGGCATCACCTATTTCACCTATTTCAATGTTGTAAATGAGTCTTGTATAAAACATCAAAATAAACTGTTTACTTAAACAATGTGTCACGGTCCTGGGTCTCCTGACCCAGCGTTTTTAGTTCTTTGTGATGTTTGTATTATTGTACTTGTGTGAGTTATTCTATGGTTTCTAGTTTCGATCCCTTGCCCTTCATGTTTCTCTGTGTCCCCTCTGTTCTGTGTAAGTCTGTGTCTGCATGTTTGAGTTCCCCTCTGTGTCTTTCGGTTCTTAGAGTCCTCTGCCTTATGGTTTATGTCTCTGTGTTTCTTAGTTGCTGTCTCCACTGTGTCAAGTTCGCGTCTCTGTGTGATCCTTCCTGTTTTACTTTGAAGGTCCGTGTCTTATGTGAATGTGTCCTGCTTTGCTTGTCTCGTCAGTCCTGATTTCTCCCAGCTGTGCCCTCCTTCTGTGTCTCATTCCCCTCGTTACTCCCCAGTGTATTTAAACCCTGTGTTTCTCTGAGTCAGTGTTGTGTCGTCCCTAGTGATGGGCAGATGAAGCCTCATGAAGCACTGAAGCTTTTCATCCAATTGGTTCACCCCAACGCGAAGCTTCTTGAAGCTTCATTTGCTCTAGCAGGACACCTACTGGACGTAAAAATATTAGTTGGCATGAATTTGAAGAGTGTGGCCTTTTGCACACAGCCTGTAAATGTCAACAACAAAAGGAGTGTGTAAAACATCTATATTGTAGTGATGGCAGTATACTCCTGGGTGGGTGTGGTATTCTTAAAGCTGCAGAGTACAGGAAGTTCTTCATGAAGCTCTTCCTACTTTATTTTCTTATTTTCAATCAGGATGCATTTCTGAGATCATCTGCAGCTGTTAATTTTAATTATGCTCATGTACATGGAAAATATGGTTTTCTTTTTTAATTCATATAAATCGTACATTTTGATGTTTCACACAGGACACAGGATTTCTGTTTAGTTTCAGATTTATATTTATCTCCACAGTTTTTACACTCTAGATAGAAATGAACACATTTTTATAAACTGACATGTTTGAGGTCTAGAACTAACATCACGTCTCTTTTCTAAATCCCATGGATTCATGGACTATTTTTCCCCTGGTTTACCTCATTTAAATATGTTTTTGGTTCTCTTCCAGAGCACCACAGGACAATCACAACACAACATGCATGTAGAGATGGAACATTTTTTTTTGAGTGGATGGATTTGCAATGTTTTTTTGTTTTTTTTATTAAATTGTGCAAGTTTTTTGTCATCTCTCAGATCAGTAATATATGATTTTAACATGTCTGATTTAAAACAAAACAAAACATACTCTTCTGACTCTGCGTTGATTAAGATTGTGATGGTGGATGTAGTTCTTCCAGGGTATTTCAAACAAATAAAATTTGTTCATCACAATGTTTAAAAAAAAAGAATAAGTACAATTTTTTTCTCTTCCTGATGATCAACTTTACTCCTTCCTGTTTAAAAGCCTTCAGCATATCTGATGCCAGTTAAACTAATGATAACAGAAAAAAGAAAGAAAAAGACTCTTTAGACATTTCTTGGTGACATGAGGGTGATTTCCCAGTGACATCCATCAGATATAAAACTCTTATAAACAGGATATGGTTATAGGTTCCATGCACCCACATGCTAAAGGCTGCAAAACAGTTCTGAGGCAAAAACCTGTAACTGAAACCCACACAACTCGGTATTAAGATACTATGCTCCTATACAGGAAACATGCTTGTTAATGAGATACATTTGGTTATGAGATACATTTGGTTATGAGATACATTTGGTTTGATGATTTATAAATAATCACCTGAACATAAAGACAGATAACCAGTCGCACCCAGACCTACGGGCAATTTAGAATCATCAAGTAACCTAACCCCACTTACCGCATGTATTTGGACTGTGGGAGGAAGCCAAAACAAGTGGAGAGAAGCCATGCAAACATGGAGAGAACATGCAAACTTCACACAGAAAGACTTGCTGCCCAACATAAAATGTCAGTCTACTAATAAATCTATTAAATGATGTCATCTTATTTTGAATTAAATCTCACCAATCTTAACAAGGGGAATGAAATCAGCTGCAGATTTAAGATTATGACATACACATTAAAGGGACAAATATGCATATATGCATGTATGTACATAGGTGGGAGACAAGGATACAGCTCAGAGCTTGCAACAATATGAACCATCTTGTATATTCTAAAGTATTTTGTTATTTTGTATTCATTCTAACAGCAGTACCATAAGAAAGAATAAAACTGTTGAGGGTTCTCAGTGTTTCACAATGCAACTAGTTTCAAAGAAGGGTATACACACAAGATGAAGATTTTTAACAGCGACTCTTAATGCAATTCTATGCTAAAAACCATAACTAGATGAACTTTATGTGCAGAACCTTTGGCAAGTTTACTAGCTATAAGAACTGTTTCAGAAACATTGTCTCTTTTTTTTGAGGAGGGTGGACAGAGGAGTATAGCGCACTCTGCACGATCTCAACCTAGCGTAGGCAGATATGTGCCATATGCACATCAAAGATTTTCCATACCAAGCTCTATATATATATATATCCTACCTTAGTCATCAACATACATTCATAGCAGACTCACACATCAAGGCAGGTTTGTCCAAAGACTCTCTGGTCTTATTCATTTCAATAATCTCTAAGTTTTGTAAGGTGTAGTTTGTCATTTTGGGTTTGTGTACACAGGTCTGGGTATAGACACACACAACATACACACATACACACACACACACACACAAACATACACACACACACAAACACACACATGAGCTGCTAGGTGGCGGCAACAGCAGGAAGTGAAGAAACAATAACGTCCAGCAGTGCGACAGCTGCCCGGCTCTCTCCATGCTCTCAAGCTGAGTAGATTAGAATTTCAACGGCTCTTTGTTGACATCAAATGGGAGGAGCTCTTAAGTCGTTATTTTCCAAATAGATATTACAGGCATAATAATTACAGCCCATTAAAAAAAAAAAAAACATTAGATATGAAAATATAATCAGGCTTTGAAAACTATATGAAAAAAATATTTCTAGCCAAAAAAAGATGCACTACTGATTACAGTAGTCACATCGGGTGACATGTTGTACTTTTAAAAATATCTCTATGTTGTTTTAATAATCAGGTTATTACATCATATATTAAGCGATCTGTGTGTTTTCTCTGGGAGAGTTTAAGGAAATATGGAAATCTTTCAACTCGCTCCTTTCATAATCCAAATAATTTGTGAACTAAAAACTAAAAAAAATTTGATATGACCCATCAGTCTGTTTAGGATGACGGTGTTGAATGAATCTGTAGTCTATAAACAGCATTCAAACATAGGTGTCCTCATATTCGAGGTGTGAGAAGGCTGTGTGGATGGCTGCAGTAACGGCATCTTCAGTGGATTCTTTTGATATGCAAATTGCAGAGGGCTCAATGTGTCCGGAATGACAAATAGTTGAAATAACAGTAAAGACTTTGACCAGCAGAGGGGGTTTATGTGCATATGAAGCCTCAAGAAGCTAACCATTTTTTGAACCAATTGGATGT